AGACTTAAACACCTCTAGGGATGGAGACTCCACTACTTTCCTAGGGAACCCATCCCAGTGCTTCACCACCCTCCTACTGAAATAGTTTTTCCTAATATCCAACTTGGACCTCTCTCACTACAACTTGAGACCATTGCTCCTTGTTCTGCCATCTGTCAGCACTGAGAACAGCCTTTCTCCAGCCTCTTTGGAACCTCCCTTCAGGAAGTTGAAGGCTGCTATCAAATCCCCCCTCACTCTTTGCTTCTGCAGACTAAACAGACCCAAATCCCTCAGCCTCTCCTCGTAGGTCATATGCTGCACCCCCCCTAATCATTTTGGTTGCCCTTCGCTGGACCCTCTCCAATATGTCCACATCCTTTTTGTAGTGGGGGGCCCATACTCCAGATGTGGCCTCACCAGAGCCAAATAAAGGGGAATAATGACATCTCTGGATCTGCTAGCAGTGCTCCTCTTAATGCAACCTAATATGCCATTAGCCTTCTTGGCTACAAGGGCACATTGTTGACTCATATCCAGCTTCTCATCCACTGTAACCCCCAGGTCCTTTTCTGCAGAACTACTACTTAACTGGTTGGTCCCCGGCCTGTAACAATGCTTGGAATTCTTGTGTCCCAAGTGTAGGACTCTGCACTTGTCCATGTTGAACCTCATCAGATTTCTTGTGGCCCAATCCTCCAATTTGTCTAAGTCACTCTGGACCCTATCTCTGCCCTCAAGCGTATCTACCTCTCCCCCTAGCTTAGTGTCATCTGCAAACTTGCCTTAAACTTGAGACTTTTAACGCTTTTCTCCTTTGAAAGCAGGAGTTAACAACAAACCTGAGATGAAAAGAATAAGGAACAGTTTAATAAATTCTTAACTCATGTGCATTGTAAACTAAAGGTCTTGTTTTCTTTGACCCTACCATGGTGCTGTTTTCTCCCTTTGAGCATCATTAGTATGTTTGTTTTCTGGACAGAAGAAGAGGTTTGTGTAGCTGAGTTACTCCTCTTGTGGTTGGTCGTCTGAACTACTTAAGTAAGGGGTAGGGAACCTTTTTGGGCTCGGGGGGGAGGCGCCACTGACCCACAGAAAAATCAGTTGGGGGCTGCACACAAGTGAGAAGCCCCCAACTGAGGAGGAGAAAGACATTCCCCACATTCCCCTTGCACACCAGAGCCGGGGAGGGAGGCGGCAGGGAAGGCTAGTAGATTATATGTGCTCTGGCCCTGCGGGTGGGTGGCTGGAGCACCAGTGCAGGCTCCCTAGTGCTGAGCCTCAGGGGCCAGATCCAGGCAAGCCCCTGAGGTTCCCCACCCCTGACTAAGGCTATATCTAGACTGCTGCTTTTTCCAATTGTTTTTTCAGAAGAGGCTTTTCCAAAATTTGGCCCGTCTACACTGGGGCAAATTTCGGAACTCCTCTTTTGGAAGAGCCCTTTTTCCTCGTAAAACGAGGAAGACAGGGCTTCCGAAAGATCACGTCTACTCTTCCGCAAAAAATGTTGGAAGAGCAGATGCGTTCCCTGGACGTGGCGGAGTTTTTCCAGGATACCGACTCCATAGTCTAGACATAGCCTTAAGTGCACTGACACTTTTTCATCTGCCACTCACCCAAGTGCCCCTCCTGAAGGGGCACTAGACTTTATGCCTTCTCATCTTACCTCTTGCCCATTGCTCCAGCCACAGAAGCCAAGTTTATACTAGGAAAATAGGTGTTTTTCTTCCAACAGTGTAGCTATTGTGTATTTATCTTAGTGTACAAGTCTAGTATAGACAAGGCAAGTAGTCGGACACCCTCCCATGAGGAAGGCTGAGGGGAGCCCTACGCTCCCCACTTAGGGGGAGAAAATGCAGTTTATAAGCAGCTGAAGTGTTTGGTCTGAATGATATGCAGTAGAGAGCCATCACTGTGGGCATGGGGATATTGGTTGTGGCTGTTGCTGACTTACCAGATTTTGCGCAATTCTCTCTCAGTGGCTATGACTTTGGCTACATGGTGAAACTACTGACAGATTCCAGGCTTCCAGAGGAGGAACACGAGTTCTTCCATATCTTGAATCTTTTCTTCCCATCCATCTATGATGTCAAATACCTAATGAAGAGCTGCAAAAACCTTAAGGTATTTCATCAAGAACTGTGCTAAGAACGTATTGCCTTTGCCTTGTTATACCTTTCTGTACATAGGTGCGCAGTAAGCCAAAAGAGGGGGTGACTGCAGCTGCACAGTATATTAAAATTGGGTGGTGACAGGTAATTCCTCCGGCTACAGCTGTGTGATGGCACAGTGTATGTGTGACACAAGGGTTTGCTCAACTTCCTGTGCCCTTTTGACTAATCCAAATCGTTCATGATTTGTAGGTACTTATTTCTGAAGTCTGCTGAGGCTGGGCATACTTGTCCTCTCTCTGAAAAGACATGGATCAACATTTTCCTCTTAAATGAATTACTGCGTGCCTTAGGTAACTGCTAAAGGCTGAAATCTATTCATCAACTTCCAAGCTTTGTTTACCACCAGTCCTGGAGCTTTTCACTTCTTCAGAGCTGAATTGTTTCCTGCAGTATGTCAGCTGAATACTAGACTGCTCAGGTTCTCATCCCAGCCTTAGGAAAGTATTTAACCTCTCTGCGCCTCACTTCCCTTGTCCCCAAAATGGGAAGAACATGCACCTGTTTTCCAGCTGCATGGAGGTTGTTTTCAGGCTTGCAAAGGGCTTTGAAGATGAATAGCCCTATAGGAGCTAAGTATTAATCTCTGTTTAGGTTGTTGAACTTTTTAGGTGGTTGAACATTCCAGTGCTCAGATGAATTAGCTGGAACTGAGTGAAAAATGCCTTTTTTTTTTAAAATTAATATTGCCATATTAATTGTGTTTAACTCTAAAGGCAGCTATTAACCTTCATGTCTAGATGAAGCCTGGTATGTGATAGCACGGGGAGGGGAGAGATTCCAGGTTAGTGAATCAGCTTTCTCTTATTGTAGGGAGGCCTTCAAGAAGTTGCAGATCAGCTGGATTTGCAACGAATTGGACGACAGCATCAGGCAGGATCAGACTCTCTCCTCACGGGAATGGCATTCTTCCGAATGAAAGAGGTATCCTCCGTCACCCCTTCTTACAACAGCAAAATGAGGGAACGTAATTGATGGCTTGAGTTTTCCCTCCCCTGCATGCACAACCTAGAATTTTTGTTTACATCTTTTACTGTCACGTAGGGATGTATAAATGTGTATCCACTGAAAATTCCAGCAGTTACATGTTATACATGGGGAGGAGCCATCTGTGCCCATACCTTGTGCTGCTGCCTCTGTATCAGAGGCAGGGGTGGGGCATGGCTCTGCAGGAGCCAGTATGCATAGGGAATTGGTTTAAAACACCAACTCCCATCTGTTCCTCCTCCCCCCCATGCTGCTGCCTTTCATACAAAGGCGGCAGTGTGTGTGTGTGGGCTGTGTCACTGTGAAGGTTAACCGATGAGCCTAGACTTATTGGTTAACCATGTACGATTACACTTTCACATCCCTACTTGTCAGCCTTTAGGTCTTAGACTAGCAGTGGTGAGTCTCGGTAGCGCTGACAAATATTTATTTTCCACCCATCTTCTCCTCCCCATGGATATGTTGATTTTCCCCACTACCTCAGAAGTGGGTGCATTTTTGACAAATATTTATTTTCCACCCATCCTCTCCTTCCCATGGGTATGTTGATTTCCCCCACTACCTCAGAAGTGGGTGCATTTAAGCAGAGCTGTGTTTAGGATTAAAAAGGCACTATAAGAAATGGAGAAATACTTTTTTTCCATTTACAGTTGTTCTTTGAGGACACGATTGATGATGCAAAGTATTGTGGGCGGTTATACGGCCTTGGCACAGGAGTGGCTCAGAAACAGAATGAAGATGTGGAAATAGCCCAAGAGAAGATGAGCATCCTGGCTATTATTAACAACTTGCAGCAGTGATAACTGGGTACCACATGACAAGACATGGTCCCATAGTGGCAGCTGCAGTCATAAACTGTTTCCAGCAGTCTCTCATGCATCAGGCATGAGGCAATTTGCTGAAGACAAAAGATGCTTCTCACTTTGGTTCGAACTTAGAGGGGAGTCTGAGTTGTTGATAATGCTAGCCGTGGTGGCTTCCCATCTTTTTAGTACTAACAAGATTGAGACTATTAATGTATATACCTCTGTTTTCTTCCTTTTAAAATGTACTGAACCTGCAAGGAAGACTTTACTCCAGCACATTCAGAACTGAGGTTCTGAAATGTTTGTGTATCACTGGCCTTTTCAGATTGTGCTTTAAGAAACTTATTTTAAATTTTTTTTTGTTGGCTGTAAGGGTGACAGCTGCTCCTCACCCTTTGCTTGTTTTTACCTTTGGGTATTCTGTAGAGATGACCCACTGTTTCATGGCAGAGTTTTGGGACCGGATAATATAAAACACTTTTTTCCTGGAGCTGAAACATTCAACTAGATCGGTCTTGGTATCTGTCAGATGGTGTGTTTGGAGCTGAGCCGAACACCTTCATAACTTCTGAGTCTGTAGAATTTCCCACTTTCTTTAGAACTATTTT